AAAAAAAAAAAAGGAGAAGTTTTTAATATTAAAAACTACAGAAAAACTTTTTTTTTTTTTTTTTTTTTTTTTTTTTAACTGATCTCTAATTTAGCTACATTTGTTCTGTATCTCATTCTGAAGCTGCTTATTTTGTTTTCTTTTGCCAGGAGTCTGAATCAGTAGCTGCGTTTCCATTGACCATATAAATGAGCAATTTAACATTTTGAAATAAATTAGCTTAATGGAAACACCAATTTTGAAAACGTTCTTTTTCAACCAGTTTTGGCAGTAGAACGAGGTGTGGGTTTTTTTTGTTTTTTTTTTCTTTTTTGGCTGTATCGAAATTGATTTAGCAGCGGAAACACATTTTTCACATCACACAAGTCATGATCAACACTGTTGCCACTTGCTCAAACCACGAAGAAGACGGCGACAGGAAGTAGTTGGAGGATAACGGCGCGGCATGGTTTTTATAGCATTAAACTTATTCATGTGTGACTTTAATTGCATTTATTTAATAGAAACACAGCAATTTCAGAATTGTGTTTAGAATATAAGTTTTTTGCATATTTGTAATGGAAACGCAGCTAGTGATGACTCGAGCAGAGCTAATCTAAAAAAAACCAAAAAAAATTCCAAAGTTGGATGATGTGGCAAAATTGTCTTTGAATAGTCCTGAATGTATTCCACTGTCCCTTAATTGATAAAGAAAAAAAGCACTTGCTTTTCGTAGTTGAGGGTTTTAACTTGATGTTTGAAGAATTTCAGATTAGCACATGCAGAGTTGTAAATGGCATGGTAACTATGGTAACTGTATGAAATGGTGAATCATGGGAGATGTGATTAAAAACAGAAACAAGGCAATTGATAAACATGTAGTAGAGGAAAAACATCTAATGCAAGACCTGTGAAATATCTTCAGTTGGTAAAATGTACAAGACCAATAAATGAGACTTAAAAATAGAGCAGAATCAGCTAAAGGAAAAATATTCTATAAAAACATACATTTGTTGAACCTTGAACTTACAAGAAGAAAAAAAAACAATCTAGCAAACAGTCTCACCACATCCATTTATTTATAACCTTCAACTGCTATAATTTTTGACAATGCATAACAAGCACTCTTAATTTTAGAAGAAATCTGAATTCAAACATTTGATAAAGTACTTTCTTTAGGCATGGAAATAATTAAGCTACAACAAAACACATTTAAAGAACTAACGTAAAACTTTAACCACGAGTCACGGCCTATTCTTTTGGCTTTTCCCTTCACAGAAGAAATGGGAAGTGTGCTTATACAGTAGTTGTGAACAAAATAGTGTATTTGGAAAAACTAAGTTCAAATCCTTATGGCAGCTTTTGCTTAGACAAAATGCCTTAAGAACACTGCTAGTTTAATTTAAAATTAATTCATGAAATAAAATGTATCACGGTTGTTTTTAGTATAGAATGTTAGGAAGAAGAAATATTTGGCTTAAAGCAATGTCTTCAGTTTTCTTTACAAACTACGATATTTGCTGTATGTTGTACTTTCTGATAAAAGCTTCATGTCTATGTTACCAGCTTCTGGCACCTGTGCACAGGTAGTCTATCCCAGAATGGTTCCACATTTGCAACTCTTGTCCCCCCCCCCACACACACACACACCTAGAAACAACAGGTGTGACGTCACCCCACAGATTCCCGGTCCAGACTGGTCCGGTCTCTCCATAACGTTGATCTTTCTTGTCTGAAACCAAGATTTTACTCATTTTCATTTGTTTATGTCAATGTCTGGATGAAACACCCATTTTCAGTGTGTTTCAATTTCGTCATAAACTAATACAACCTCTTCAAGTGTTTTGATGTATTCAAACTGTTTACATGAGAAGTAGGCCCAACACTATTTAAGAAAGACCCCAGAACTCTATGGGATGAATACTGACACAAGTAGCTTAGAGTTTAGCAATCAAAAGAAAAGTGGGCAGTTTGGTTCAAGAAAGACATTGACAACGAATTAACACCTTGGAATAAGAACACCAAAGGAGAGAAGAAGGCAAGTAAAGCCTATTTTCTTTCCATTTGCTTGTTATATTTGGAAAATCATTCATATGCAGATGAAAGCCTGATAATTTTCTAAACCTTCCTACCTGTGAACACCACCATAAACAACTTCTTCATAAAACCCAGACCAGAAAGCTGGAGCACCGTCTCACCGAGAACAAAGCAGCTAAACGGATCAGAACTTTCACGTCTGACACTTTCTCCATGTTACATCCTAAACAGCAACAGTGACACCTAGAGGTGACTTGACTGATCTGACTTACACTTTAAGATTACACTGAAGAAATTCCAGTTATCTCATACATACATCATACATTTCAAAGTTCACAATAAACTGAAAATGTTTCTGCAAAGCTCAGATTTTAAATATATAACCTACTAACAAAAATAATCAGAGATTGTAATGAAGTCTTTGGATGGATATACTGATGGATTTCCAGTGGAAAATTCTTAGTCATAATTCCTGTCTTGTTTCATGTCCTATCCAAAGCATTGGGTGACTGAGAACAGAACATGATGGGGATAAAGTCTGTAGTTATTAGTTTTCCAGACTTTCATTTTCCTTTAACACTTTATCCAGACCTGGGAAATACTGCGGTTCCACACTGAGGAACCCTCAACGCTCAGCAAAGGTTTCCTCTCACTTCTAGTTTATAGTTTGAATAATTTCTCAAAGTTCTATCAAGGTCTTTCGTTCCTATATTGGCCCGTTGGGACAACATACAACAAATCCTCTGGGATGAACTGTTGACTTCCCTCAGGCTCCATGAACCTACTCATAAAGAAGAAAAGCCCAATAAAGAGTCTCGATTGACTAAGTAACTGCTGGCAGCACGCGGTGCTGGATTTGCATCTGAATGAGGCAGCACCTTCAGGCCGGTGAGCAAACAATTATTATCACAACGTCATCATGCATGTAAAAACCTTTATCTGGCTCACTTACGTTTTGAAAGGCATTGTTTTAATCGCAAACGTATTCACACCCAGTCGCTTGTGAAAGTAGCAGTAACTTTCGCAAGTTACTGTTACAAGATTTAAATGGATGAAGGTGAGAGATGAACACAAAGGAAGAGCAAAATTGTTAGCTGGAAGGAAAAAATTCTTCCAAATAAAAATCTGAACGTTCTGGCAATCATCCTCACCCCCCACTGAGTCTTTCACTGCAATAGCTGCTGCCATTATTTTCAGGGATGTTTCCACCACGTTTGCCCATAAAGACAAAGCTTTTCTAAATACTTCACATTTGGTTAGATTGGATGAGAAATGTTTAATTTCAAATTTCAAGTCTTTCCACAAATAATGTTAAAAGAAACTTGACTTGAAATTGGGCATCTGTCTCTTTAAAAACTCCTGCTCTTTCTGAAACTCTGCCTTCAGGAAGACATCACAACATGGCTCCTCTATTAACGCTTTAACAATGTTTTTAGGAGCAGCTGCTGTAATGAGCTGAGCAGACGTGCAGTTCCACCAGGTGCTAATAGCTGCTGGCTAGTCTGAAGGAGCTGAGTGAAGTCGTCTTCGGGGCGGCGTTGTCTGAGAGGTGAAAACTCCACAGCTTGCAAACTTGCAGCTCTGAGGAGGAGCTTTGACCTCAAAGGCAGAGCTAGGTCCATCCAGGCATTTTGGTTGCCGTGGGAGATCAAGGGATTTCTCAATCATGCATGAAAATTTCAAGGCAACACTCCAGGTATGTTTTTGGCGAATAACTTTATAGCATGATGTAAATCTCAAAAAAGTTGGTTTTACATAGTACTGTCCCATTAATGCTCCTTTTGACAAACCTGTCGTTTTCAGTGGAAGACCTGGTCTTGGCAGTTTCTGCCATCCTGTCTCCAGTTTCAGATGATGGATTTGAACATCATCTGAAACTGTGAAATGTTCAAAGCTTTATGATCTGATCCGCTCTGAACTCTCTCCCGGACCTGCCTGCTGTTTGTTACCCAGTTATCACACAGACGGAACTTCTGGAGGTCTAATTTAGGGCTGCAATTTAAGAAAACAGAAACCGCTCAAGTTTTTTATGCATCAACTGATGCCGGGTGTCAAATGTAGAAAGGTTCGAGTCTCGGTGATTTTGCATGACACCGTGTGTTTTAAACCGGTCCGAAATGTCTCTGCAAGTCTTGCCAACGCTTCATGCGTGCGCGGCTCCCGGCTCATGAAGAGGCTTATGTGCGTTTCTGCGGGGAGGAGAAGGGAGCCAGACAGGCGACAGTGAACACGGTCTTGGCTTTAGGGCACAGGCTCGGGAGCCAATGAGAAGCAGACATCCACTCCTCTCTGTCCTGCCTGGCTTGGCTCAGCTCGGCGCGCCCTGTAATTAGGAGCTCTTGCTGGGTTGGGCGCCGCCCGCCACGGTGGACAGCCTGGCTGGCTGCTGTGTCAAGGGAGTTTGGGAACGCCAGCTCCACACTGACTGAGGGCAGCAGGAGTTTAGAGCGAACGGGCAACTCCAAAAGCGGCTGAAAAGATCGCTTTTAAAATGAACGGTCAATCGTCACCTGTCTTTGAGGAGAAGAAACCGTCCCTGCCCGGCGTGGCGGGGAGCTCCATCTCCACCAAGGACTCCCCCCCGACCCTGGCGGAGTCCTCCTCCGCCGACGCGGGCTTCTATGGCGGGCAGAGCGCGCTGCACGACTCGCAGGACTTTTACGCGGCGCAGCAGCCATACGGAACTCCGCACATGAACCCGTACACCTACCACCACCACCACCACTACAACCTGAACGGCATGGCGCCCAGCGGCGCGTACTCGGTGGGCAAGGCGGAATACCCGTACCCGCATGCGGCATACAGAGATCACGGAGCCTTCGGCAGGGAGGTGCAGACGGCGCTGCAAGAAGGTGGTGAGACTAAACTTCTGCTTCATCCAACTAAATGCGCTTCAGCGAGTTTTATATAACGCTTCCCCATCAGCTCTAGACGCGACTGAATCAAATCCATTCTTCCAAGTTGTTTCAAACTGAATATTTTTGATTAACATCTTTAAAGATTGTTGAGCAAAGTGACCATCATTTAACTTGTTAAATTCTTCAGTAAAAAAAAAAAAATATTTTACATGTTAAATTAACAATGTCAATTAACAATGTCAAATTAATTTAAAAAATGTAAATAAGTTGGTGTATAATTTTGAAGAAAACAAAAAGTTAAATTTAACTTTTCAGTAAGTCATGTCTTTTCTCCTGAATGTCTTTATTACAGTTTACACTTAGTTTTTTTTTTCATAGAAACTTCAAAGTGCGTAGAATCAGGAGTTATTTTGTTGTAGATATTTATTACTGAAGCAAAGTTAATTCTTTTTGTCTCTAAACGGAAGTGGTTTGTGATCTGCTGCTCTGTTGGCCTTGAGGTCTTCAGGAAACATTAAACCCTCTCTTTTAAAAAAAAATCTATCTTAATTTTTTAAGGTAAACAGCAGTTATATCTGTCAGTATAGGTTAAGTTTAGCTGCAGTTTAAATCAGTGAGATTTTATGAGATTGCAAGTTGTGAGGTAGCAGTGCAGTTTTCACAAGGCAGGATTACTGGGTTGATCAGAACGACGTGAAACAAGATTTTAGCAAAATTCAAAGGAAAACTAAGAATCCCAAGAGTTTTTTGTTTTAACATATAGGTCATAAAATGTGTTTTAAATGCTCTGTAGTCAGTGTAAACGTTTCAGTCCAGGTGTAATGAATCTGTGTTGTTGTTTTCATGCTTGTCTTATTCTAAAAGTGGCTCATAAAAAAAAAAAAAAAAAAACTCAAATTGCTCTTTTTTTCTGTTTTTCCAAATAAACTAATAGTTTAAAAAAAGCATCAATCTCAGTCACATGAAGAAATAGACCTATCCACATAGATTGGGCCGCTGCAAGTTTTTTAAATGTTGAACTTAAAACGATTGGAAAATCAGAGAGATTTGCTGTTTCCGGTGATCATGCTAGCTGCTAATACCAATAAAACAGCTCATTTAGTACATCGTGGATTTAAAGTTTGCAACAACACATTTGAGAAGAGAAGTTGATGTGGATAACTATCAGAAATATAAATAAGTGTTTTATATGTGCAGCAGCCATTTTGGATTTTGAACTTCGGGATGTGAGGAGACGTCGAACTCTTCAGCATGAAATCTGACTTAGGGAGCATTCCTAAAACTCAAAAAATGTTGACTTCTGAAAATGAATGCATTCCATTCATATGCAGAAGTTTCCATTCCTTTGTGCTGCGAATTAGACAAAGGAAACGTTCTGCTCTGACTAGGTCTAAACGTATAATACAGGGATCTCCTGTGCTTAAATGTAAAGTATTCACAATAAAATGCATAATAATAGTCAATATGTTGTTGGAGATTCTGCCTAATTAAAATGTCACGGCAGTAGTTATCAAAGGAAATTGTTTCCCATGAAAATCTGTTAAGTTTCTGCGTTTTTGTGTGCTGTAGTACGTTTATAATATCACCAGTGACGCATATCAACTGACACCCTGTAGCTTAGTTTGAGGCTCTTACTTTGAAACAAGAAAGGAAGTAGTTGTTGGATTGCTATGCATTGTTTAGGGTCTGTTCACAAACTGCTCATCAGATTATCTAAAAGTACAATTTAAAAAAAAATAGCAGAGAACTTGCCTCTTTCAAACTGATCATTTGGCAGTGCTTTGGAGGAATGATGAGAGACTGAAAAGATACAAGGGATTTCTAAGTGTTGTAATAAAACAACTTCTGGCTAACTGTTAGCATCAAAGTTATTGTCTGCGTACTACGCCATCCCGGAGGGCTATTTCCCAATTTGTGATGGAATTTGGTCTTCTACACTGAACAGAGATCTTTTAAAACAAAGTCTGAGAGTTATTCTATTTCATAAAAGTCATTCTGTTTCCTAAGTGTTTTCAGTTCCGTCGTGGGATTGAGGTCATCTTAAGGCTGCATTCACACAGCAGGGAAATGCTACCTGAAAACGATTTTTTTGCCCCCATATTCAAGTTTTTCGTGCCAGTCTGATCAGCCCAATTCCGATCTTTTCACCCTCCCCAAAAAATCTGATTTGTACCACTTCCACATGCGGCACTAAGTCGGGTTCATATCAAATAGTTTTTTAGGCATCTGAACAACAAGGCGTCACATTTTGTCCGACATTTATATCAGTCTACAACTGTATTCCACTGACCATACAGTCGCACAATTTGACATTTTGAAAATAAATTTGCTTAATGGAAATGCCAATTTTGTAAATTTTTTGTATGTATTTTTTTGATAAAAAGTTTTGACGCTGGGATGAAGAGGTTTTCGGCCATATCGAAATTGGTTTATATTGCAATGGGAACACATTTTCCACCTCACACGAGCGGCATGATCAACAGCCGGATGTTGCCACTGGCAGAAACTACAAAGTAGACAACAGGAAGTAGTTGGAGGATGATAGCGTAGCATGTTTTGTTGTTATTTATCTTGTGAACATACTTATTCATGTGTGATTTTAATCGTGTTTCTTATTAAATGGAATTGCCACATTTGCAAAATTGTGTTTTTGGACATTAGCACAATACAAAGTGTTTTACAGATTTGTAATGGAAACGCAGCTACTGACGAGACACATGCATCACAGTTCTGCACCAGTAGCCAGACGACTTACATCCACATGTAAACAATGGTTAAAAACTATAATTATAAAATTATGAAGTGCGTCACGTCCCAGTCCCACCACTCATGGCTCTGACTTTGCATCCAAACAGACTTCTCTTCAGAAGTTGCAGTCAACCCTTCTCAAAAGGCAATCGCTACTAGTCCTGTTACCTTTTTTTCTTCTGGTTAGAATCTTGTTACAATGTTGTTGGCTCCTGTTACTGAAAAACCTTAAAATCGATGCATTAACAATCTGTAAACAGTGTTATTTGTTTTTTATTCAGTGCATGTGTGTCGCTTTGGGATCGTAAACCGTTCTAACGTGAGTCACATTGTGGTTGTGTCGTTCAGTAGCACACAATTTTTAACTTTTGTTTTTGTTTTTGCATTTCTGCGAAAAAAAAAAACTGAATTAAGCATCAAAATCTGCTTTTTGAATGCAGCTTTATAACAAAACAAGCATCAATCTGTAACAGCTGGTTGAGTCAGACACAGACTGTATGGTTGCTGTGATTTTTGAAACCTGTACTTCTTAAAAACAGGGGGTTCTTAGTTTTCTCAAAGGTGCGGTTAAACTCTCACCTCACATACCAAGGTGAGCTGTCTTGTCTGTTGAGGTGAACGTTATCCAACATGGAAAAGTTTGATTGACAGCCCACCGTCCCACCCATTGTCTGCTCCATCCAAATGTACATCTAAATATGCCAAATTAGAGCTGCATCGTCTGCTTGTTAGCTAATTGAGGGTTAGTAGTTGCTTGTAGTTGATTGTTGATGCTGAGAGATCCGATAATTGGAGAGAGGATGACAGGCCAAGCCTGAGAGTGCTAGGTGATGTATTAATTAAACCATTTTATATCATTTAGTTCTTAGCCAGAGGCTTGAGACAGAAGACGCCACAAAACTAGTTCATGTCAACCAGAGACAGATTCAATGACTTAAACTGTAACATTGTACAAGAATCCATGTGTCTGGAGTCTAGATGTGCAGCTCTAACATCTAGACTCTGTAACATCAGAACAGCTAAAGACAGACTTACAGTAAACCAGCACCCACCAGTTTTACCACCTCTTCAACAAATCTGTTCCCAACAGACATCTAAGCTGCACTGCAGAGCATGAACTCAGCTTTCCCTCCAAAAGCTGTTTTTATTCACCTCTTCCTCAAGGTTTGCTGGGCACCTCGGCTCACAGGAGAAAGAAAAACAAACTAGATGAACTGGTGTTGTGTTTTTGGCATTCCAGTTGGGAGTTGACTCCTGGAACTGGCCCCGGGGGACTTTGGCCCACAGCCACGGCACGTCAGGTGTCACGGCATGTCAGCCAGCCTTGGCCTTTGAATCATCCACCGACGAAAAGTTCCTTATCACGCGAGGCTCGGGCGTCACGCCCAAACAAATAAATAAACAAACAACGATGCCAACGAGGAAGCCGTCCCCGTGTCTCATGCCGCGTATGTTCATGTGGACGGGAATCCAACATTGGCTCGAGGTCCAACATTTTAAAATTAATTTTGACTTTACAACATGTCGTAAAAAAGAAAAATAATGTTGCAGAATACTGCTGAGGATTCAGAGGTATTGTGTCATACAAAACGTTGGAATCATAAAAGCCAAACCTCTGTCAGGATCTTTTGCTTCAAAGCGTTCAGACTGGTTTGACGTTCAGGTTTTTCTGAAGGTCTCGTCTTTCACACCGGTTGTTTTTCGGTAGTTTTTTTTTGTTTTGTTTTTTTTAAGTGACTTTTATAGGTTACAGTTGAGTTTAATTAGACTATAAACTCAACTGGACCTACAAATATTCCAAAGCTTCTAATACGTGAAATACAATTTAGCAAACGACTAATTTTGATTTCAGAGAAAAGCTAAAGCATGCCTCTCAAAAAATGTTCCTGAAATGAATCTAAAGCTGAGATTTGCTCTGATTTTAGCTCACAGGATTACTCCCAGTAATCCCGGCGATTTATTACTCTAATGCCACTTTGAGGATTTCTGGGAAGTCTGCTTCAGGGGTGGGCGATATGGAATTTGAATTTTATCACAATATTTTTGTTGTAACAATAAAAATTATGATTAAAAACTATGTATTACTTCATGTTTTAGGTAACATTATGACTGTGAATGCGTGGCACAGCGCCACAAATATAAATACTCTTCTTGAAAAATATTCCCATTTGAAACACGCTTCAGAAAGCCTGTTACTGAACGCAGCATGATTTATAGCTGCACACAGTATCCAGATTTAATAATATGTTAGAATTAAGATAATTATTGATGCTCTTGCATGAACAGTGGAGAATATTGTAAAAATAACATTGTAGCTAACATTTTTATTTAACATTAATGATTGTGATTTACTAAGTCAATGATAAATCAAAATCCTTATCATGATTAGAAACGTTTCCCGATAAACGATATCGATACAATAACTGCCCACCGTTACTTTGCAGTGTAATATTCCTTTTTCATGCAAGACACTTTCCTCAATAATTACTATTTTAATATTTATTTAAGTATTCACGTTACCCTCCTATTTTTCATTTATGTGGGAATGTTTCTTTTCCTCTGAGCCTTCAGAACATTTTTCACAAGAAAACAAAAACACATAATCTCACCTAGCTGCTTTTATTTGAAATGGGAAAAAGCAAGCAGTACTAAAATATTGCAATGTGAATCATAATACAGTTGTAAACTTGTAATGTATATTTATTTATTTACTATTATTTTATTTCTGATGGGCAGACTTAGAAATAATGTTTAAGATTCAATGGCACCGGATGTTATGACTGGTTGTTCTGATCGTCCAGAGGAAGCAGCTTTATTAGTCAGGCTGTCTGCTCAGGTAGCTTGTCAGCAGTGTTTACCTCAGGAAGATTGATGACTGTTGCTGCTGCAGTTACCGCACCATGAACGTCTACATGTCAGGACCAAAGATACTTAGAAATGACCCAAATTGTCCCTCAGCTAACTGGCGGTGAACAGCAACATGTGGTAGCATGTGTGTCAGTGCTGAGTGAATTTAAAGAGTCAGAGAAAGCACTGGTTGTTCTGACACTAAAATCATTTTAACATGACTTTATACATCAGGACAGAACAGTTCAGCTGCTTTGCTAACATGCTGCTCGTAGCTTTGCTAACCGTAGCTTTAAACAGCCTTACCTTAATAAGACTGATGTTTTTTTTGTTGACTCATTAGTCTTTCTTGATGAAAGTGAAAACAAGTCAAATCTGAGCAGCGTATGTCAACAGGTGGGGGAGGGGTTATGTTTCAGACAATGGGAGAAAACACCAATGACTCCGGCACATTCTTTGACATAAAAAAAAAAAAAATCATGGAACGTCGTTGTCGCAATCTGAGAATCCAGAACTTTGCCGTCCCCAGGTCAGCTGAGAGACCATTGAATGGTACAACAACAAAAACGTTAGCCACTTTGCAGACGTGCCACTCCTAGCTTGCTAATTGTATGGGCTGTCTTCGCATCATTAAAAAGCCTTAAATTCATGTACGAAATATTAAGGTCTTAAGATTCTTTAAAAATGTAGGTTGGCCTTAAGTTTGTATGTTAATCGCAAGTCTTGTGTCGCGGCAGGACTGTTTAAAGTCGTTATATTCTCAGATACTCAGGATTTTTCTGTCAAGGAAAATACTGAGTCGTGTCCCAACATCTTCACTGCGTTCTGTGACACGAGGCGGTTCAGCCTACTAGTAACTAGCTGCAAATATACTCATGCTAGCTAACTAGCTAGCCTTTTGCGTTCATTATGGGTAAAGTGCAGATTTACCGCGTCTCAGCTGGGTGATGTTCGTTTTTGCCACTGGCTCACTTCTATTTCTAGGTGAATTCTCTGCAAAAAAAAAAAAAAAAACAACAAAAACTTAAGCTAGGCTCTTTGGGAGCTGATACTGGAGAGCATCATGTGCAGAATGAGAAGCTCAAAACTATGTTAAGAGCTACAAACAAACCCCAGAAATGTCAACTTTTGCTGTTCTTGGTTGGAATACAGCAGAATCCCCCAACCATCACCTATATTTATAGTTTTTATGGTCTTACATTTTATTTAAGGTGCTATGAAAACATTCTAAAAACACCCTCTTGTAGCCACAGCGTGAACATGACATGAGGGACAGGTGGCGCTCTCTTATTTTGTTTATTTTATTGTTTTTATTATCTTAGTCTGTTTTTTTTAAATCCTTTGAAATGTTAGAAATAAAACACTAGCTGTGCAGCAACTGGTGGGGGAGGGGCAGCAATGTTACTTGGTGCTAGTTACTTAGTCTAAACTGTAGCAGCGATGTGTTGGACAGTTTCTACTTTCAGTTTGAAATCAGAATCACATGTGAAGCAACAGGAAGTGACAATGTATAAAAAAGCAGCTGTTCTAAGAGTGCTGCACAGGCTTGACTTGTCTTTTACTGTCTCTTGTGTAAACTTCAATTTATAAGAATATAATTATTGTCTTATAAATATCATTAACCTGACATATTAGGGATTAAGATCGGCTTCCATCAGCATATTGAAATGCTGACTTTGAGCGGGGACTTGGTGTTGTCGTCTCCCGGTTAAGAGTTTCTTCCCAATCAAGCAGATAGATTGTTTTAATTCTGTAGGAATTTACTGAAGAATTTGTTTTTCATGGAACATTTGCTGCTGGAATACCAGAACAAATTGGGAGTGTTCTACACAGGCAGGCCTTCAGGCTACTGCAAAAGTACCTATAAATCTCTTTCTCCTTCCCCCAGTTGTGGGAAACTCTGAGACCAAATTATAAGTTCACAGTGCGGGAGGAATTTCTTTGAAAGTTCTGTGTTACAGAAGCCGCGGCTATTTTTGTGCCACAACTTCTCAACTTGGAGTCTTTGCTCCAGAGCACTCTTATGAAAACGTTATGTGACAAAGCAGGAGACGTAGGCCTACGGTTTATTTTTTTTGTCTTGTCTTCCTTCCCCCTTACCGGTGCAGTGAAAGAGGAACCAGACCTGGAAGTCCGGATGGTCAACGGGAAACCCAAGAAGGTCCGCAAACCACGCACCATCTACTCCAGCTACCAGCTGGCCGTGCTGCAGAGGAGATTCCAGTCGGCCCAGTACCTGGCCCTGCCGGAGCGGGCTGAGCTGGCTGCGCAACTGGGCCTCACCCAAACGCAGGTAAATGCTGCGAGTCAGCCACCGTGTTCTGTTCAGTTCTGTGTGGAAACAAAAGACGCTTCCGAGGAAAACGATGCAACGGCCAAACTGAAACTGTCTGTGAAACACCTGGTGATGTTTTTAACCTGGCAAGACATTCATGAAGGGATGGGAGTCATCTGTTAGCTGGAACTGTTCATTTAGACGAAGCAGTCACCATCTGATTCACTGAACAGCGCTCACAACGAACAAATTCAAAATTAATGTGTAGATGTAAAAATGATATTTGGTGAATGGTTTGAAGGGAAAATAATTTTAACTTACAGCTGCAGTATGTAACTTTTAAAAAAATTATATGTATGTCATAACAGTATTTTATGAGGTAGATGAAATGTGAAAAAAAAAATCAGTGCTAACTAGAAACGACCAGTCAGAGCCAGAAGGCGGGTCTTAGCGCTGTCAATCATCTCTCTTTATGGCGCTGCTCATCTCCCTCCTGCCTTCCTCTTTTGTTCTCTACTACACTGCAGCTAGCAGAGCCCGTCCTGAATGCTAAGGCTAGTTAGCATGGCCACTGATGATGGCAGTTAAACAGTTTTCCTGTAGTGGTTAGTTGTTTCTCCACCATTAACACATTGAGATTGATTGACAGTGCTAAGCCCCTCCCCCTCACTCTGATTGGCTGTTCTTCACCGGTAGTGGGGCATTGCTTCAGACAGCAATAGCAGCACAGGGAGGAAGTGAAGGAGATTGATCTTTTCACGGATTATCTGTCTCATGTTGTCTTGTCACAACATAGTGACAGATTAAACAAATAATAAAAAAAACAACATAATTTTTTAAAATAAAAATTACACACTGCTGCTTTCAGGTTTAGCTTGAGCTATTTTTATGCACAAATTTTGCTTTGAGTTCAAAGTAAAGTTGAGGTCTTTCAGCTGTTTTGTTGCAGCTAAACAGATGAAGCCTGCACTGTAAAAATTAAAGCTACAGTAGTTGAAATAATATTAAAATAATGACAAAAATATTATTATATGTCTTGTTTATATTTTTTATGTAAATAAGACATATCAAATCTACAATATAATATGTAAGATACAAAATGCAATGAAGGTTTCACAGCAGTTGATGGGTTATGTTCATTTGTTTATTGTTATCTGAAGTGGTAATCTTTACACCAATGATTTACTACCAGCCACCTCTGCAGGAGTGATAACTTGTGGTTTGTTTTATTGTGGCCGTTGTAGATCATTGTTCAGTGTTATCCTTGAGTGACTCTCACAAGCATATGAAATACCGTGATCAACTTTATTTATGTAGAATGCAACCAGTAGACACAGTAACTTACCTCTTTGGGTCATGATGCAGTCTCCACAGAGACACATGATGGTGGTAGCATCATGCTGAGGGGATGCTGTCTTCTCAAGGAAAGAGAAGCTAAACGGAGTAGAGCGGAAGATGTAGGTTGTTTGAAACTGTGAGATACCTGAGAGTGGAGAGGAGGTTCAGGTCACAAGCAAACTTTATGGATGGAGCTAAAAATAATCAGGAAGGTTCAGAGGTTATGTTTGAATTTGAAGGGCGCACAATACATCGGTGTTAACATCGGTATCGGCCGATGTTAGCCATTTTTTAAAATATTTCGGTTCCAGTCCGATAATTAAAACTGGGCCGATAATAACAAGTGATGTTTATTTCCATCTTGTTGCTGTTTGTGTTTATGGAAGGGCGTGGGGTTGGCCATGTGGTCATGTGATGCAGTGCAGGATTGCAATACTAATGATCTGGTCATTTTTCACAGTGTCAGAGGATAGGAAAATATATTTAATTCATGTCGTGTGTATAATGCTGATACATATTGGTTATTGGCTATAATAGAAGTAGTAATATCGGTTATCGGTATCAGCCCAAATTTTAATATCAGTGCATCCCTTATGAATTTGAATAAAAAAGGCACTTAACACAACTTACTTTGCTTTTTCCTACAGATTAGAGTGAAGTGTATCTGAAAAATCCTTATGATTTGTTTTGAAATATTCTCTTTTTCAGGTCAAGATCTGGTTCCAGAATCGACGCTCCAAATTCAAGAAGCTCTACAAGAATGGCGAGTTTCCGCTCGGAGACATGCCCTGTGAACATAGTCCAGATGCCAGCGACTCCATGGCCTGCAACTCTCCCCCGTCCCCAGCCGTGTGGGACAACGCCTCCGGCAACAGCAGCAACAACAACAACAACAGCAACACAAACGGCAGCAGCAACTGCATAAGCAGCATCAACGACACAAACGGCGGCAGCCTCAAGAACACCGCAATGCTGGATCCCGTCAGCAGGGGTCAGGGTCCGTATCAGCCCCCGATGAGCTCCTCTCCTGCTTACATGGAGGACTTTACACAGCACAACTGGTACCAGCAGCAAGGGGCGCATTTAGGCTTGGCGCAGTCAGGCCAGATACACCACACGCCGCCAACAGCGCCGTCAGACACACAGAGTATGCGAGCCATCTACTGAGCCACCAATCTGGACGCTCAACAGCTGAAAAACCAGACCTTTTGTTTGTTTTGTTTTCTCCTCATGAGAGGAATTTCAGTGATGCTGTAACCCCAAATAACCTGACAGAGAACAGACTCAAGCAATGACTGGTAGAAACTACAAATATATCAAAATTTCCTCCCAAGTCGGACTGATATTCTTGTGGGAGATCACATGGATTGAAGTGTTTTTGCACTGCTTGGTCTGATAATATTTTGTGAATTCTTTTTAAATATATATATATATATATTTGAAATTTCTCCGTATTTAACGTAAAAAAACTTTTAATTATTTGGTCATTCCATTAAATTATGTTCTGGATTCGTCCTCTGTCTGTTCCCTACTGAAACAACGTGCTACTGAAACTCACTGCTGGACTTTACCAAACATAAAGACTATCAAGGTAAACCTTTTTTTTATCAGTTAAAAAAAAGAACAGTTTGATGGACTCGTCTTTGTGTTAAACTGAGCTAAGACTCAAACTAAGATTTCCTTATTTATTTCTCATATATATTATCCTGTATAGAAACACTGCAATCAAATGTAAGTCATGTCACAATATTAAAGCCTTGTGTATTTAGGGAAAAGCGTCTCAGCTTCCAACTGAGACAGTAGCTCTGTTTCTAAATGTCAAGCAAATTTCAAGCAAACTTTTAAAACAAAGAAGAAGAAGGAAAATAAAAAAGAGTGTGTTTCCATTTACTGGTTCGGTGCGAATCAAAGTGTGATTTCGTCAGGTGCTGACTCTACGCATGGCTGCAGACCAGCATGGACTGGACATCTCAGAAAAACAGGAGAGTCCTCCCATCTGCGCTGAAGGTTTGGACAGGGAGAGTTTGTTACGCTGGAACTTATTCTGCAAACGTGTTTCCAAAATCGTTAATGGAAAACCGACTACTTACTCAATTACTTGTATTTGCTACAAAGTTGAATAAAAGGTGGAAAGGGAAACTACAACAAAAATCCCCATCAGCAACAGGTTGGGGAGGGGTTCCTGTACTCATGGTTCCTTTGTTGTTTTGACCTTGAACATTGACCAGGACTGATTGACCCAGTCTCCTCGTATCGGTGAACATCCACAACAGCAGCTTACGTTAGCATTGAAGCTAATTTTTAGCATCATAACACTGGGCTCCAATCGATGGGCAGACTGTGGCAGGCCTTGTTTAAATTTCTTCAGAAATGTTCTAATTTCTTCTATAATCCTGAGCCTTATATTACACTATTAACACTGCAGGGAGAAAAAGATTTTTTCTAACAATGTTTTTGGGTATAAAGTTAATTATGTCCTCCAACTCAGCTGAGGACATGTCCTGCTGGTGGTGACGGCCAAAGGGCAGGCGCAGAGGGAACAGGACTAAGTGATAACACCAAAACTGTATTTGTAAGGGACGGCTTGTTAACTCAAAGGCTCATTATAACAGAATATGAGTCATTCATTCAGCGTGTCAAAATGTCCTTTCCTGAGTCAACTTTAATTTCTTTTCGAAGCTGTCATGACATTTGGAATTTGTCCTTATCTGCTGCGGCAGTGCAGCCCTTCAGGGGAACTTTAAAATCACTCACCTGACACCTCACCTGGTGCTCCTCATGTCACCATCTCTCTTTCTCTGCCTTTCCGTTCACTCTGTGCTCTTCGATTCTCTCACCGAGAGCAAATCTTAACATAAGCGGTTTGATGTTCAAACAAAAGGGGCTGGAAAGTTTTCCATCAACCACCCAAACTTCCCCCTTCAGAGAAAAACATGAATTGGCTCAAGAAAATGATTCACAATGGACACAAACAGAAGAGTTCTCCTGAAGGATGAAGCAAACTGCATATAATATGGACCCACCTGGAACTGTGGAGATGCTCCTGTTAGCATGAGGAGAATAGATATGTTTGAATCTTTATTATTTAAACAAACTTAAAAAACCACTTGTCTTTATTTAAGTCATCTTGACTGAATTTCTAAACAAAGAAAGGGAACATGAAGACAACTGCTTTCTGTGGTTACATTTAACGGTAATTTGCCCCAAAGATGCTACGCTAGCCAGTCTTTTAGCCTGTACCAAACATACTGTAAAGTATTTCATGTAAATATGATGTTAATAAATTAAATAAGGAACACATTTGCACATTGATTCATTTCCTCTAAGCCCTGAATTAAAGTTTATAGTTATTTACTGTTTGTTTGTTTTTTGACAACATTTCACAGTAATTCCAACTAAGGAAAAACTCATGAATATACAAGTCATGTAATGGAGATAGTGGAAATGTAACCCATTAGGTTTTGTGCTTATTCCACTTTTGACAATTCTAATTTTCTGTCTGATGCAACTTGTTTCAACTTTGTTTAATCTCACCAGTTAACAACACATTTCAAATGTCAAAGTGAAACTTCTGGAGGGTGGAGGCATTGGTTTTCATTTCATTTTTTATTTTTTATTTGAAACTTTAGTGTAAGAACCATAAATTGCTGGATTTAGGGATTGAAATAAGTGGGACTTTTCAGATCAAAGCAACTGACAAAAGTCCTAAATGACCATCACCAGTGACAGCTGGTTAAATGGAAAACAAACAATGCAATGACAACTGAATGGTGAAAAATAAATAGAGAAGCTTAAAGCTTTAGAAAGAGTAGAAAAAATATCTAGAGAAAAATATCTAGTGTTAATCAGCTTTATAATGAAAAAACAAACAAACAATGAAATTCACTTTATTATATGTAAAGTGAGCAAAAACTAAAGTACTCATCCCAAAGCAAATGGATCATGGATTCATGGTGCTGCGTTAGCCGTTAGCATGTCCCCTTGAGCAATGGCTGTCACCATGTCTTCTCCAGTGTTTTCTTACATTTTTGAGTCTTCCTCTGTTTGGTTTCAGAGTCTACGAACGAGTCGTTGTCGTCGTCTTTCATCTCCCCCACACAGATAAAAGAAGACGACTTTTTTTATTATTCGATGTCGATGTGTCTTTTGTGTGGAGTTTAATTTGTAGTGTTCTGGCTAGAGCTCTGATTTTAGGCTCCCATCTCCCCTGCTGCTAAACTAGAAGTCAAAGTGCCATATTTCAATTTCAAAAAATCTAAATAATTTTGTAAAAGAAATTTTAAAGAAACGTAAATAACCTTTGAGCATGCATTAAACATATTTTTCATTTAGCCCACATTTCTGTATTAAAGGTTTTCATTATTGGTCTAACAACTTTCGTTGTGAGTTCAGTATTATGAATGACGGAAAGCCAGGTCTATCATAGCACTTTTCTTTGAACAGCAATAAAATTTTGCATTTTTACAAATGTGACATTGTTTTTTATTTTTTATTGCATTGCTTCTCTGCCCAAATATAAATCATTTTCAGCCTAAAGCAGTAATGTCTGGAAATTTACAGGAAAGCATCAACATGAGTCATGACATTTATAGACCAGTTTTTTTAGGGCAGCAGCAGAGCTGGGGGGATACCAAAAACTGTACTCAAGTAAAAGAAGCACGACTTCAATATTGTTTTACTCAAGTAAAAGAAAAAGTAGCCGTCCAAGAAATCACTCAGGTGAGGGTTTTAAAAAAAAGTATTTGGTAAAAGTCTACTTAAGAACTGAGTTACTGATCAAATTATCAATAATTTAATACTTAAAAATTACATAATCAGATGGACCAAAACATAAAGTTAAGTGGAAAATTTGGAATTTTATGAACCAAACTGACAATATTTCATAGAAGTAAAAAGAAAAGGCAAAAGGAGATTTTTCCATTTAGTTTCTTTCGGTATAAAACTTCTGAAACTTTAACAAAAACTGCAGGTTAGTGTCTTTGTCTGGTGGATTTTTGGTCAAAACATGTTTGTTTTTCATTCAGTGGGAAGAAAACCCAGAAATTTTACTCAAGAAAGAGTAGAGATACTTCATAATAAAATTACTCAATAGTCAAAAAAAGTTACTCAAGTAAATGTAACGAGTTATTACCCAACTCTGGCTAGTATACATGCATTTCTGTCACTATTCTACATGAAGATGCCAAAACTCCGGTTGAAGCAGTCTAATGGCTACGTTGGAGCGTCTGGATGTGATGCAGAGCAAACAGAACCTGAGTCACATCCGGAGGAGCTTCTGTATGAGAGCGGACATCCTGCTGTCTGTCCTGATCCCTCATCAACTCGTTTCACAGACGAAGAACTTCAAAGGTTTTTGCGCATGCAATACTGAATACCAAGACATGCATGTGAGGCGTTTAAGATGTTGCAGCTCTGGTAGATTATTTGCGTGGCATTAGTGTGAGCAGCAGATAAACAGAGCTGGTTACAACATACAAAAAGACTGGAAGGAAAAACAAGACAAGCAACTCAGGTATATTTTTGCCGAACTTCAAAACCATCTAGTGAAATATTAGTATGTTAATTTCCAATTCTCTACTTCTGAAATGAGACATAACATTTAATGACATCACAATGACATTGTTTTTCTTACTCACCTTTGATTAACAATCATAAATCAGTCACTTATTATGATGTATTTTATCCCTAAAACGCCCCATTTGTTCATAACAGTGAAAATCGGCCCAGGCGACTAAAAATAGTAAATAAAAGCTGGAAGATTTATGAAAAAATTCTGATCTGTACTCAAGTTTTTTAATTAAAGTTGTTGATATAAAGAAATATAATTCTAAATGCCTTTTAAGTATTGTTTTTCTGATAATTTTTCATTTAATAAAATAAAAAGGTCATGTTCTTCCCATACTTCTGCATTTATTTCTGGATGGAGTGCACACACACACGCACACACACACACGCACACACACACACGCACACACACACGCACATATGCGCCTGCACACACACATTCAGTCATGTTTTCATGTCTTGTGGGGACTTCACATTGACTTCTATTCATTTTCAGTCCCTTACCCCAACCCTAACCATCATATACCTAACCTGTAACCCAAAAACAGCAATTCCCATCATGGGGGCCAAGAGATGTCCCCACACAAAGCAGCGGTCCCCACAATCCCACAGTGCAGACACATATAGGTCTCCACAAGGATATAAAAGCCAGGTTCACACACACGCGCACGCACACACCACGGAGTTGTGCTGACGGTGCTTTCCCGGTAAACCTGTTGGAGTGAGTCAGACAACAGAGGCAGGTTGCACCCAGCTATATATTTTACATTCACATGCAGCGTTCGTGTAAAGCAGCCTGTGGGAGGTGACGATGCTGCAGACACGCCGGAGTCAGGAGATGCTAATAACACACCACTGACACCGACAGAGATGGGAGCCGAGCGCTTTCATGTGGGATCCAGTTGGAGAGGAGAGGAGCTTCTGTGTAGAGAAACTTGCAAACACTTGACAGAAAAAGGGTGTGACGAGGTAACATGTAGACAGACAATTTGAAATATTTCTATGCAACTTCTGAGTCCAGATTTTTTTCTGTCTTGTTTTCAGAGTGAAGTTGTGAAAGTGCAAATATTCATCATGAGACTGACTAATAAATAGAGCTAGATAATGCATATTGGTCCCGTTTTTCAAATTAAAAAAAAAAATAAAAATTACGTGATAGACAACATAAAGTAGTTGATGACTGGGAAGTAAAAATAAATCATTATAAATCATTTCTGCATAAAAAGAAGAAAGAAAGAGGAAACAACGGAGCCCGACTGGTGACACGGGAGAGAAAAATCTCCACTTGCTGTCTCCTGGCCATGACTTGTTATAATTAAATCATTCCCACAAAATAAGTCGTTCCCATGAGTTATTAAGTCATGGCCACGATTTATTTTCTTCTCTCGTCACCAGACATAAAAACCTTTTCTTTGAGATCCCTAAATAAAGTCCACTTCAACTTGGGAATCATCAATATTAAAATTTGGGTCAATATTGATATCCAACATTGCTGCTTTGGCCAATAACATATTTACTGATATTGGATTTACGGGTTTCTACGTGTCCTTAAAAAGTATTAAAAGTCACCATCTTAAAATGTTTTGAATTCAATTTAAAAACTGGTCTTAAGGTAGATCTTAAATGTTGCCATGACAGGACTATTTAATTTCATACATGCTACATAGTTTTTTGATTTTCCTTGCAGGGGTTTTTCTACAGAAACGTTTGAGTCGCACGGCAGACATCTTCAGTGCTCGTGACTAAAGGTGGTGGAAGCTACTGCTAACAAGCTGCTAATACACACAAGCTAGACTTTTGTGTCTATCCTGGGTAAGTGTAAATTTGTTGGATTTAAACAACACATTTTTTTTAATAGTACCAGTCTTAGCTATTAAAAAACTTTATTTCAGCAAAGTTGTCGCTGTGGAGGGAATAGCATGGAGAATGGAGAGCAGCTGTGACTGTAAATATGGAAAAAGATTAAAAGGAACAAGAATTAGTGTCATCAACTCCAGTAAGAATCTGACAACATCTGTAGATAATCTCACAAGAAGAGTCATTTCTTCCTGCAGAGGACAACACTGTTGTTGGTAGCATCTGTTGACAGGGTAACTATTCAGATCTGGTATTTATTATGTTGACACCAATGTCATTGCTCAGAGAGAAGAACACCATTGGTGAAAAAAATCCCGTTTGCAATTTGCAACAAGCCATGCAGAAGATCCAGTAAACAGAGGGAGGTGCTCTGGTCCAGTGAAACCAACAGTGACCAATTTGGTCAACATGAACAATAATGTGTGGTAAAAAACAAAACAAAACTATAAAACTCATTGAAGATGCGAGTTTGTCAGAGGGTTCCCTTCCAACATCCCTGGAACGGTTTAGATCAGAGCAGATTCATATGTTAGAATGGTCCAGTCAAAGTTCAGACCCAGAAACAACGGAAAATTTGCTGCAAGATTAAAAAAAATGAATGTTCATAGATTATGTCTATGCAATCCAAGCAAGTTGGAGTTACTTTAGTAAATCAAGTTTGGCATTGTAGGAATTGAAATTGTCAACAGGTAGGTGCCAACAGTGCTCACCACTCACACTCAGTTCAGAACATCAACTTAATCCGTCTTTACTGTCACTTTTACTGGTGAAAAAAAAAATCTGATAACTGTTTAAAACAAACAAACTTAGCCTAGTGGGGGCGGGGGGAGTAAAGCCTGGTGGTCCGCCAGGCTTATGATACAATAAACTGTAATCAC